TGGGAAGTTGGCTCAGTGGTAGAGCGCTTGCCTTGCATGCCTGAGGCCCTGGGTTCGATTCCTCAGCACCATATAAGCAAAAAGAAAAAAAAAGCCGGAAGTGGCCCTGTGGCTCAAGTGGTAGAGTGCTAGCCTTGAGCTGAAGAGCTGAGGGACAGCACTCAGGCCCAGAGTTCAGGCCCCACAACTGGACCAAAAAATAAAAATAAAAAAATAAAAAGGATCACCAGTCCCGATGAAGAGACTGAGATAGCTGACACATCTGACAGCTCCATGAATATGGAGGAGGTGAAAGCTATCATTCCCAGGAATAGAGTAGAAGACCACAGTGAGTTATCAGATGTGATAGTGGTGAGACAGTTGAATGTGTGCTGGTATTTTCAGGTAGTGAAATCATGCAGATTCCAGGAAATGTGGATCTCCTAAGGAGATCTGATGTATTATTTAAGAAAGGCAAATCAGATGGACTTTGGCCATGGTCACTAAAGAGCTGGGCAGAAAAACAGGGCTATGGTAAAAAAAAGTTATGATAGATTAGTCTACAGGAGATGACTCATGTCAGCTCTGTGTGTGTGTGTTTGTATCAGTCCTGGGCCTTGTGGGGCCTAGGTACTGTCCCTGAGCTTTTTTGCTCAGAGCTAGCATTCTACTACACACAGCTCCACTTCTGGCTTTTTGATGGCTAATTGAAGATGAGTGTCTCACAGACTTTCCTGCCTGGGGTTAGCTTTCAACCATGATCCTCAAATCTCGGCTTCCTGAGTTCTAGGTACCTGGCAGACTCATGCCGTGTTCAAAGCCTGTTTCAGGTGGGAATTGGTGGCTGAGATCTGAGGACTGCAGTTTGAAGCCAGCCAGGCCAGAAAAATCCATGAGATTTTTATCTCCAATAAACTACTCAGAAAAAGCTGGATGTGGCACTGTGGCTCAAGTGGTAAAGTGCTAGCAAAAGAAACAGAGACAGCACCCAGGCCTTGAGTTCAAGCCCCAGGTCTGGAAAACAATAAATAAAAGCCTGTTTCATGTGAAAGCAGAATATTAGGAAATTTTAGTGATCATAACAGGCTATTTTCTGTGATTAAAAAGCATATAGTAACCTTACAATGCCTTCTCAGATAAGGTCTTGTCCAGATGCCTGTTAGTAATAGAACCTCAATGCACAGAAAGCAAACACAGAAGAAACTTACAAGGAAAAATAAACAAATCCACTAAAAGTGGACTATTTGTCTTGGTCATTTACAGATTAGTCAGTAATATAAATTTAGAAGTTTGGAGCAAAATGATAAATACATGAATATATACTGAACTCTGAACCTGGTAATTATACAGTTATATATTATATAATTATTATATATTGTACATATTATATATAGTACATATACAAATATATACAATTATATAATACACATATTTGTACATATATACATGATACAATTATACACATTTTCAAGCATGTATAGAACATTAAGCATTATAATATGTGATAAAGCGCATTTTATTTTTATTTTATTTTTTATTTTTTTTGGGGTCCTGACGTGGGGCCTGAACTCTGGGCCTGGGCGCTGTCCCTCAGCTTTTCAGCTCAAGGCTAGCACTCTACTACTTGAGCCACAGCGCCACTTCTGGCTTTTTTTCTTTTTTGCTTATGTGGTGCTGAGAAATCAAACCCAGGGCCTCAGGCATGCAAGGCAAGCGCTCTACCACTGAGCCACCTTCCCAGCCCCCATGTATATGTTCTTTTTTTTTTTTAATTTTTTATTGTAAAGATACTATACAGAGGGTTACAGTTACCATGTATATGTTCTTTAGGCTTTTTCGTTTGTCAGTTTTGGGGCTTCAACTCAGGGCCTGGGTGCTGACCCTGAGCTTTTATGCTCTAGGCTAGTGCTCTACCACTTGAGCCATAGCTCTACTTTCTACTTATTGGTGATTATTGGAGATGAGAGTCACGGACTTTCCTGATTGGGCTGGCTTTGTACCTTGATTCTCAGATAGCCTCCTGAGTAGCTAGGATTACAGGTACGAGAGCTATCAGTGCCCGGCCTGGGTAATTGTTGTTGTTATTATTATTATTATTTGTCAGTCATGGGGCTTGAACTCAGGGCCTGGACACTGTCCTTGAACTTTTTTGCTCAAGGCTAGCACTCTATCACTTTGAGCCATGGTGCCACTTCTTATTTTCTGTTGGTTAACTGGAGGTAAGTGTTCCATGGACTCTTCTGCCCAGGCTGGCTTTGAACTGTTATCCTCAGATCTCAGCCTCCTGAGTTGCTGGGATTATTACAAGCTTGAGTCATTGACACCCAGCTAAGGTTAATTTTAATTTTTGAAAATAGGTAACTATTTACTACCCATCCACTCCCAGTCCTGAATACTTGCACAGACCAGGAATTGGATTCTCCCAATATTAAATAAATGAACTGTTTCTTTTTCTTTCTTCCTTCCTTTTTTCCTTTTTGTTCATCCTGGGGCTTGAACTCAGTACCTGGGCTCTGTCCTGAGCCTCTGTGCACAAGGCTAGTACTCTACCACTTGAGCCACAGCACCACTTCCAGCCTTTTCTGTTTATGTGATACTGAGGAATCAAACCCAGGGCTTCATGCATGCTAAGCAAGCACTCTACCACTAAGCCACATTCCCAGCTAAATCAACTGTTGTTTTTTTTAATTTTAATTTTTTTATTGTGAAAATACTGTACAGAGGGGTTACAATTACATGGGCAAGATAGTGAGTACATTTCTCATCAAGCATTGTAGCCTCCTCCTTTGTTTACCCTTCCCATCCCTTCCCATCCTCCCTCCCCCTCCATCCAGTCCTCCCCTCCCAAGTTGTAAAGTTCGTTTTTGACATGACAACTTGTACTTCTCATTGTTGCAACAGGTCCACCTGTATCCTTATTTAAACAACTTGTTTTTCCCCTTCCCCTCCACAGATTATACCGACATCAAATACAGTGAAAGCAGGGGTTATACTTTGGGGGAGGGACATACAAAGCAACAAAGAA